TTCTAAGGAGTCTGCACTACGGCTAGCAGCGGGAGGGCTCACGACTCACTTTAATGTACGGAAGGACGTAGGGCCATGCTGGTTTGCCGTGTAATCGCGGGTAGGGTGAAGAGAATGGCGGATGATGCGCCGCCGCTGGAGGAGGAAAATAACAGCAGCGTATCGGCTCCGACTGGCTCGTACGATTCTATAGCAGCGTACGCCGGCGTCTACTCCGACCTGGAAGAGTTGGTTGTCTTCAATCCACGGGCTATCCTTCCTTGTTTCGTAGTCATTTACAAAGCGCTAGAATCTTCACTCAATTGAAGTCAGCTCTCACGTATCAACATCATTTTCTCAGAATTATCGAACTCAAAACGATCCACCTTAACCCTGTACATATGTTTAAGATCTTACGTCGTGGCACATGAGATCAACACCTATGTTCTTTTCTTTTGAGAATAAATTGGATGTTAATGTTCGCTAGACTAGCTGGACAGCATGCATGGCTGAAAACTAAAACTTTAATATCGTTGTCTAAATATTTCTAAATTAAAGACGCTGAAATCATTGATTGCTCGTTTTATGATGAAGACAGGAAGGCAGACATACAGATATTATGTGTGACAAAAAATATACAGAAATTAACAACGGATATTTTCTTCATTTACTTCTTTCAAAAGGGAGAGAAGTTCGAATTGTCATCTTCAATTCACACCTTTCCTTTCACGGTCTCCTACAACTTGTTTATTAGTGGGTTAGTGGTACCATGAATAATTTCTAACTAATGTCCATACCATATTTTACCCAACAATGTAATTAAAGAGTATATACAACCACACGAATTAAATTTAAATAATATTCGAAAACATTTTTTTCTTATATTTTTAAACATAATTTATAGTAATATAAAAAAATCTTACATTAGTTATATATTAAACTCTTTAAATGTTCATATTAAATAATACAAAATAAAATTTATGTACGTGTATGAGTACATCTTCGTTGTTATTTAAAGTTTATCATAGTCTAATAAATTTATTTATTTCTTGCAATATTTTTTAGTAATCATTATTAACGTGTTTGTTTTTAGCAATAATTTCATCAATAATATTGATATATTATAGTCTGATTTTAAATCATGATAAGATTTTTAGTTATAAATATAAATAATAAATATATTTTTTATTTGCCATTCCACCAACTTGGTTGAGTCGTTTCTGCATTAAGGATTGGGGTTCCTGTTTTGCTTTGCTTTGCTTTGGGTAATGGCTGATAGGTTAATCGTTTATATATATGAATGTTTAGTTGTCGAATTAAATTGATTTGATAAATCCATTCACGTTATAATCTACTGATCCCAAATTCAAAGAATGGGAATTCCAAATGTGTTTGTACTTGAAGATGGGAATTACGTTGAAAGGCAGATGAGTTGGAAGGGAGTAGGAGCAGAATTATTAAGACCTACCCACGTGAGTTTATCTTGTAATAACTAATTGCAAAAGGAAAGTGCGGGATCTTGGTGGACGTTGACCATTGGAAATACAACTGAGGGGTGAAAGGGTTTTTACAATAATTTGGGTTAGAGTTTGGGTCCAACTTAAAATTTTAAACAAATTATATATTTAAATTAAAACTTTAAAAAAATTCTCAATGGTTCAGTTTACATTTTAAAAAAAAATTAGGGTATAACTAAAATTTTTGAAATTTTAAGAGTCTTAATGAGATTTTTTTAAAATTTATGTAAGTGATTTAATTAAGAATATTTTTAAAAATTAAAAATTAATGAATTTCTAAATTTTTGTTGTGACAAAATTAAATATTTTAAAATTTTAAAAATATAAATTATATTTTTTCAATTTTTTTGAAGTCATAGCCCTACCAGTCTTCATTATTTTATGCGACAATTTACGACGAAACACAGTGAAGTGGGGCAAAATGGTTGAGATAATGGGTTTGGGAAAAAGATTTCCCAAAATAATTCAATTCGGGTATTATTTTCCAATAAATGATGAATACTACAGTAACCAGGGGAAGACGTTAGGTGTTCCACGTGTCTTTAGAAGATCCCAAGACTGCACGTCGTCTTCACCATTTTTTTAGCTCTACAAATCTAAATACACATAGTAATCCATGCGTCTTCTATTGGAAAAAAAGTCACATGGTAATGTTAGCGTCTTTTCATTGACACTGTAGCAATGACCCTAGTTCAAGAAATAATATGGTGGGGTGCCTTATATAGGAAAATCATTTTTCTCACAACTCTATATGGGCAAGAAAGCCGAGTGGAGTGGATATTCATAATTGGATATGCACATTCATTGGGAAAAAATTGCTCCAATGGGGTTTTGGAAAATAAAAATGGGTGATATAGGGAGGAGAAAAATTATTTTCCCAAATAGCATATTTTGAACAGTGTCACCGGAAGACGCCGGGAATAGCTGGCAAACTTTGGGAAGATGGTTGGGGCCGACCCACCATGGTTAGTCTCCTGTTCTTCCTCCCTCTCTTCTCCTTCTCTCCCTCTCTTCTCCTTCACTGCTACAACCTTCCTCTGTCTCCTTCTGTGCTGCACATTCATGTTTAAGGCAACAACGAAGGTGAAGAGTCAGAAGACGCTATGTGCTCTGGTCATCTTCCGATGTTCATTGTAACATTTACCCTACTTGAAGAAATAATTTTTCTCCTCTCCTATATCAACCATTCTTTTTTTTTTTCACATCTCCATCGGAGCGGAAAAGCCCATTCATTGCTTTCTTCTTATTTTGTGTTTGGATTCTATATTTTATTATTATTATTATTTTGTTGAAATAATACGGTTTCCAAAATCATAATTAATGTAATCTATGTTGAGATTACTGAAAAATCTTGCAGAATTTCATATATATTCTATTATTCTGTTCATCCTTGCTCTTGTCATGGGAACTTCCCTAACAGTTAAAATCTGATTTAATTTCGATATATATTTTTTGCTAATATCGACGACTCCATTGGATTTTCAATTAATATGTATATTTATATATATATTTGGTGGACCAAATATTAGAAACTAATATGATTTGATCTGAGCAAAACTCTGGCATGGGACAAATGGAACAACCACTTCTCTTGCTCTACCGAACGGTCTATTTAATAGTTTTGGAATTGCTTCTGCAAATGATATAAAACCTAAACAGATAACCCACCCTACGATTTGGAACTATATTCAACTGACTTTCCAATATAATATTAAGAAAATAAATGTACATTGGAAATGAATAAATATAAGTAGTGATAGGTTGAACAGATATGCGAGATGATTTAACCTAATACCAAATAAAATAACAACATCAGTCAATCTCATTTAAGTAATTGAATAATTTCATCATCATACATGATCATAATTGTCGACATGCATTTTCGTCCGACTTTACATTTATATGTCATGATCATACATGATCAGTACAACGTAATTGTATCTTAAATTTTTAAGTCATGTTTAGTTTTACAAATTGTATTTGTACAATTATATAAGGTTAAATTATAAATAGTATTAATCATTAGAAAGAAGAAAAATCTTAAATTCTAAAAATATTTTATAAAATTTGAGTAAGTATTCGACAATAGAATTACTGATAAAATAAAGTTTTTATGGTTAAAAAATTATAATGAATAGATATAGTATATAGGATTTTTTTGTATTGATAGTGAAAATAAATTTTACAAACGAAGTTTTATGTTGTATTTAGGATTTATAATATATCATTTGATATATTGTAAAATAATATTTTTTAATACCAATGCATGAAATAATAAAATTTATATTATAAAATCCTATCTTACGATAACAATAATAAATTTTAAGTCGACGTTGTAAGAAAATAAATAAATAATAAATTAAAGAGTGTGATTTTCAAGACAATATATGTTCAAGGATCATTCTCAATTTTTCGACATTGAAAGTTTACACCCCTGACATCTATGGTGCTTGAACCTGAATCTTCAAATAACAACAATAATTCATTTACCACGGAGACAAGTTAGTTCGTGCTAAAGAGTGTGATTTTAAGTGTTTCTAATTATACCTTATCTCTTATTCACATGGACGAACGTAAAATTTTATGTTAGATGAGATAAACCTTAAAAGGATTACGAACTTATAAATTTTAAAAGAAATAAAAAAATCAACAAAAAATATAAAGAATATCTAAAATGTATAAAAATTTAATTTTTTTTAGTAGCAACCACTTTAGGTTCATCCTTGTTTATCCAAAAGGACATAGGCTATAGTAGTGTGGAAAGTTTCACGTGCGTCAGTCTTAATATACGATTAAGAAAAGACGCTATCGATTTCGTTATTATTTTTTTAACAAAATGGGTAAAAAATTACTAGAAAATTATTATTTTTACCGGTTTTGTTATTATTAGATGCTTTACCGGTTTTGTTAACATATACGATAAAATGGTACCGATTTTATTATTTTTCTACCGGTTTTGTTATTATTAGGTATTTTATAAGAAATGTTAAAAAACATCAATGTTTTAGGTAGAAACAATAATGTTTTAGGTAATATTTTACCGGTTTTGTTAAAAAAATAATAACAAAACCGATAACATATTTCTTTAACTGTATATTAAAGCTGTTGCACGTGCTACTAGGCGAAGCGGTGAAGTGTCGAACCTTAAATGGTAAAACTTCCCAATAATATCAAAACCTTTAGAAAAAATAATAAAATCGATAGCGCTTTATCGAATATGTTAATAAAATTGATAAAGCGCTCAATAATAACAAAATTGATAAAAATAAAAATATTTCAAATAATTTTTTATCAATTTTATTAAAAAAATAATAATAAAATTAATAACGCCTTTCATTAATAGTATATTAAGACTCATGCACGTGACACTTTCCAATAATAAACCCGGTTATTTTGTTGTCAAACTTAGGCCTTAGTAAAACATATCAAACGCTGTAATAAAAAGGGAGAATTCTAATCTACGTCTGTGTGACCACACAGTAGCATATCTCAGCAGCTAACTTTCAAAGCTTTCCCGATCCACCAACCGAGAAACGAGAAAAAAAACTTGAAAATAGAACATCTTTTTGTACCATTTTGGAGCTCTAGATTTTCAATCTTTGCCCCTCAACTCCTCAGAATTCCTTGGCTCAAACAATGGTATGTACTTTATCTGTTTTTTTTTGTTCCTTCCCCAATTCGTCAATTTTTTTTACCGGATAGAAAAGAGCTGGAAACTCTTTTGATCTAAGCCTCATATTGTTTTGGCCTTGGCAGATCCGATTTATTTTGTTGCAAAATAGGCAAGGCAAGACTCGTCTGGCCAAATACTATGTTCCCCTCGAGGATTCCGAGAAGCACAAAGTCGAATACGAGGTATTGCAATTTTCATTTCTTTATTGATAATTTGGAAACCCCTTATTTTCACTCCCTAAGGTTTTGGAATTTGGGCGAATTTCTTAGCTACAGTTTTTGAATATTTTGATTATTGGTTCACAGGTTCATCGATTGGTGGTTAACAGAGACCCCAAATTTACTAATTTCGTGGAGGTTGGTAAAATCGCGTATTCTTTTTTTAAAATCCGTTTGTTCATTTACTTACGTTTTTGGTGAATTCCTATTACTTCATATTTTACTATTGGAATTTTTTGGTGAGGAAAGGGAAAGTTGCCTTTTAAATGATGGTTTTAGAGAAGATCCCATAAGAACTTAACTAGAAAATTGAAGAAATACAAAAGTAGGGTAAGACTTAGATTTTAAGCAAGCAATTGCTGAATGTTTGATTGATTGTATGCATTTTTTCTTTTGCAGTTCCGTACGCACAAGGTAATCTACAGGCGTTATGCTGGATTGTTTTTCTCATTGTGTGTTGACATAACAGATAATGAGTTGGCATATTTGGAGTCTATTCATTTATTTGTGGAGATATTGGACCATTTTTTCAGCAATGTATGCGAGCTTGACTTAGTTTTTAATTTTCACAAGGTATGTTTTATCAACTTTTGCTTGAACATTACTTGCTGGATTCAAGTTTTCAATCTAATTCCCATGAAACTACGAGTTCCAATAACCAAAAAGTTTTGTTTTGTCCCGTTTCATTTTGCTTTATTTCTTATTGAAATCGTGAGTTTGTGATCTCAAGTCTCACCACTTGCTTATCTGCTATTTCAAATTACTTTTTGCAATCTTTATCTAACTTGTGAACTGCTTTATTTCCACTCATTGGTTTAAACACATGTATTCAGGTTGATTGTCATATTCCTCTTACTTCACTTATCCTTTTTCCTTTGAAATTCATGAAGGTTTATCTGATACTCGATGAATTCATTCTTGCTGGAGAGCTTCAAGAAACAAGTAAAAAGGTTTGCTCCCCCCCCTAGAGACCTTTTAGTTATTATTTCATGTTGATGGTTTTTATTGACATTGCAGCTTTTCTTCTCTTATCTTTTTTTACCCTTGGAATTGTTAGTTTTAGCAATGACACTGTTGTTATGTTTCTTCTTTTGGTGTAAAATATTAGCTCATACTATTGCTTTTTGCATGTCATTACCACAATGGTCGTTATAATCGAACTCTTTGAAAATGTAATCATTCTTGTTATAAAGTGGCAATACAAATATTTGATGGCTTGGAAACCAGCACTGAGGTTGTTCTTGCTGCACATTGCAGGCTATAATAGAGAGAATGGGGGAACTGGAGAAACTAGATTAAATATGACTCCGCATGAAAGACAGATGGTGCAATTTGTGTCAAGTATTTCTCAATTTCTTTTTACCTGTTTTGCACAGCCAAATCTTTATTGTATCATTAGAAAACTGAAACACAAGGAATCCCCTTAAACCCTTTCCCCTTTTCCAAATGTAGTCTCTGTAATGTTACTTTGTTTAAATTGGATAAATTTTTATTTGTTTTCCATTGGGTAAATTATGTTTAGAGGGAATTGATTTGCATGTTATTTTAGCGTTTTAATCGAAAGCAGCAGCAGAGTGACGATGAATAGATTTGACAAACCCTACAAAATCGAAGAATTAAGCAAAATAATTCATGTTTGTGTAGGAGGAAAATTTGGACGAAAGATGCATTTGGGTTGCAACAATAAAAGAGAAAACAAGGTGATAACAGAATGGCATTAAAATTTCTTGCTAAATATTAGTGTCATTATATTTCAAGCCCAAATTTGTAGGACAATTAGATAAGCCTCTCACTCTTTCATCGTTGCAACCATGAGCACCGTCTATGATCTGCAGTTGAAAGAATAAAACAATGCTTACTGTGCATCGTAAGTGGAAGGGACCTAATTCAAACTTCAGAGGCGCTCATCGCAGAGTAACTGCAAAGACAGCGTTCCACCAGTGCGTAATCTACCATTCCTTTCGTCGTATATGGATGGAAGATGGTGGTCTGACCTTCTCGCTCTAGTTGGGGGCAAAGATGAAGAAATGGCCATTTTCAGCAGTTGATGTTGTGGGACTATATTAGACTTGGGACTCGGAATATCTAGACTTGAAAAGGGAGGAATGGCATTATGAGCATAAGGAATCGAAGTACAGGACTCGTTCTTTCCATTTTGCCTGCTCGGAAATTGGGTCAAGACCGTGGAGGTTCCACCAGGCTTGTACTGAGTTGCTAGGTGAGCTGCCCAAAGTCGCTGATGTTGCTGTTGTTTTGTAACTCCTGAATGACACATGTAAGGAGGGACGCAAAAAGGGTTACTGGGATATTGAGGTAGCTGCGGTTGGACCTGCAGTAAAGTACCACAAAATTAACATAAAACTTTCATGACAAAAAATAACCAGACTAGCACAGAATATAACCATAATATCCCTAAACAACCACAAGAAGATTCAACTGGGTGCTTGTTAAGAAATCATATTGATGGTCCCCCACTGGTACTGGAACCTAAAAATGCAACACATTTATGGACGGCCTCACTTATTGGATACAATTATTGGTACTAGTGATCTCACAGACAATAATTTCAATTATTAGCATTAACCAATTTTTGCAAGATATGAAGGAAAAGGAAGGGGTGGGGGGGGGGAGCAAAATAAAGAAATAAACCTGCTGTGTAGCTGTAGCCGTTGAAAGGGGGTCTGTGTAACAAGTTGCGGGTACTGAGAAAGGCACAAGTGACTGGTGTTGTTGAAATGAATGAAGGTAAGGAACTTTTCCTTGGAATTGTGACAGTGATTCAATTGCATTTCCAACTTTAATAGAGTTATTATTAACTTCCATACTAATGCCCCCAGTCGACAAAGACAAGAATTCAAAAGTCTGTGCAGTAAACAGTACGTGATCAGGATAGTGAGAAAGAAATAACCACAAGCAATCCCAATAGGTGACCATACCTGCTTATTTGAAGTGTTCCTCCCAGATGCTGAAGCAACCTGTGGGTGTTCCTGATAGAAAATCTTCGGCTGTAGAATACCATTTCTAGTTTCATAATCATTTCTACCGGGAGCAGAGTTTCCAGAATAGCTACTAGGTATATTGCCATTTACAGCATTTCTCAAGTTACCGCGATCATTTGGATACAAGAGAGCTGTTTGCTGTACTCCTCTATGGGGTTTCAATTGAAGAGTGATGTCTTTGTTGTGCATCTGTAAATTTCGAATGAGACGGCTGATGTAGATATGAGTAACACACCTCTTCGTTGACTTCCTATCCATGGCAACTTTTGAAGCCTATAAATCTCATCATTTACCATACACTTGATTTAGATGCTTGATGTGCAAAGAGGCATTCATGAAAACAGATATAACAGGCATTTAAACATGCATACCTTTTCAGTCAAAGAACCACTTTCTAATGAACATGTCCTGGGGCCATAGATTGCAGCATCCAACCAAGCAGGAAATTTATTAGCAAATGATCTGATATATAGTAAAAACTATGAAGGATGCCAAAAAGATGGTAATGAAAACAGATATTTATGATGATAAAAGAGAATTACTTTGAAGATCCAGGGGTAATAGGGCCAATGGCTGAGCTTTGCCACAATGCAAGACCTATAGGACCAACATTATGTCAGATATTAGTATCCAAACAGCAAAGAAACAAGCTATATACAGCAATGGAAGCTCCCAAGCTGGTATTTACCATTTTTTCTGGGCTCCTTGATAATATTTTGCTCTGCCATTTGGCTTTCTGAAGCAGTAACCGACAAATGATCCAAAGCAACCATATGAGTTCAAGATTGACCAATGAAAGCAGTATTTGATTCTAACGTTGGTGTCAAGCTTATACCCCAAATGCCATTTCTGCCTTTCTCTCAAAAAGATCCGTCACCAATTGCCGCTTCAACCTGCGTATGCGTAATCAATTAAAAGTGAACAAAAAAGAGCACACTAGAAATGCAAGAAGATGCATGTAAAAGAGAACTCCTCAGCACTTACCCAGTTAAGATTAATTCAGAGAGAACATGAGAGTCGCCAGGAATGCAAGATGAATTATCAACTTCAGGTTCACTCCTAGCCAAGAAAGAGATGGAACCAATCTGCCTCATTTTAGAACCAGCACTATCTTGTTCAAAATGGGGCTTTCTGCTTCCTGGCAAGTTAGGCTGATCTTGAGAGGTAGTTTCATTCAAAGACTTGAGTTTAGCAGCATCGTTGGTTGAATCCTCTACAGTGAATGGAGGAACAGTCTCGGCCGCTTGTGGATGGCGAACTTTGTTTGTATCTTCTTTTTTAACTGCAGAATCATATAACTTATGCTACAGATAATATCAAACAAGAAGTCTTGCGAATACATAGCAAGCAGGTGAAAACCTTCAATTGCTGTGACGGTTTCTGGAGGAGCTGAAGCCTTTACTTCTATCGGTTCACCATTCATTTTGTCCTTATCCATTGAGTCATCGTCAGGGAACATTCCCGCCAAAGCATACAGGGTCTTCACAACCTCTTCCTCATCTTTTGTGATTGGTCCAGAAACTGTAGCCTTCCTGGACCAGCCTGCCTCTCCTTTCTACAGAAAGCAATTTCAACAGCATAAGCTACAAATGCTTAACTAAAAAAGAACCATAACTACACTTGACAACTGGGGAATGAGTGACAATTGACCAACCGAATTCAATTTTGGTTTCTTAAGAATTCTTTCTATGCACTTCATCTCCGCCAAGTTTATGGTTTGTTTTCTTAGAATCTGGTAAAGGAGGGACGATCGATTCGCAACTGCGCTTCTTCATGGCTGTGAATAAAATTCCAAATATCCGGAAACATTAATACCATCAAACGCCTTATTTTATTCCTCTACAAGGATTAAAGTTCCAAATTCATTAAAAGCTGGCCGGTACCACCTTTGGAAAAGTAAATTTCAGTATGTACACAGACGCAAAAACTCAACATAGTATAATTATTTGACAAGAAGCAATACACACCATAAAAGTGACAGCATCAATAATATTAAAGAATTAAGAAACAAGACAGCAAAAGGAATCTTGCGACCGTAGAAAGAAAAGAAAAGGCAAAAGGCCTTGGTTTCGCTTCAGTTCCAAACTTCTAATCCAAAAGCAAAAACAAAAATGGAGAAACTTCCCAGCAACTCCCCATCAAATGCAAACTTAATTTAAAACGACAACAAGAAGTTCATTAAACCTGAAAAAAGCAAAAGCAAAAGCAAAAGAAAGAAAGATATAATTTTATAAAATACAAAAAAGAAAATCCTTTCCTTTTTCAGAATAAATTATATTCATTACAACAAACAACCTTCCTGTTATTCATTCACGAGTTACACACCTGACCGTAGCTTCCGTGGAACAGAGGAATGATTAATGAGATTGCAGTCATGAAAGAACTGCAGAGAAAAATAAATAAAATTTAAAGCTTTCAAATTCAAAGACCAAAAAAAAATTCATTTTTGCTGAGAGTGATGGACAAAAACAGAAGGCTTACCTTCTTTGGTATCTTAAACATATTGGTGGCAGAATTAGTGACGGGAGAAGAAGAGAGTTGTGAATGTGAAGGGCACTGATTTTCTCTATTATCAGAAGACAAATCACAGCAACAAGAGCTACCCATTTCAGTTTCACAGTGTGGGCTGCTATTGGGACCTGAACTGGGACTTTCTCTATTACCACTAATGCTACTCAATCTTCTAATTTTCTCTTTCTTCTCTTTCTCTAAAGAAACGAAATTCCCGGAATCAGCAACGCCAGCAACACCTTAAAAATCAATGGACAAAACACGCCATTTATCATTTACTTAGCTCTTCTTATCCGAAAAATAATGATAACGATAATAAAAAGGAAAAAAATAATTAAGGAATGTTATGAAAAGGACAAGAGAAGGGAGGGGTTTTGGAGTAAATTTACCAAACAAAGTGTTGGGTCGAGATTGTTGTTGCTTCTTGTTGGTATTAATCTGTTGTTGCGAGCACCGAGTCACTCAACACGCCTCACGCCTCGACTCTTGTCCATTTCTGTTGATACCACATTCATGATAACATTACGAACATCTAGCTATATCCCGTGGCGGCTCCTTCTCCAGAAAACGGCATTCACGGTTTCAAAATAAACGATTCAAAATCCAAATAAACTCATAAAAAGCTTCAGACCAGATCTTTCTTCTCCTCCAATATCAGAACTTCTTCAATTACGTGAACAAAAAACGAAAACAAAATAAACAAGGTAAGAGAAAGCCTCCTTTTAATGCAACTCCGTGTAGAATTCAATATGAAAGAAGGAAAAATGAAGGACATAAGATGGAAGAACTTTATTTGATTTTTGTGGGTTTTAGTAGTTATGAGCGAAAAGTAAGCCGGAAAGAAAACCGAAAAAGTGGCGTTCGGGTTTTGTTTTTTCAAAGGAAAGAGAAAATAAATCAAATTTGATTGCCTTGCCTGATATCTCTCCATTTCTCTTTTCTTTTTTCTCTTTGTTTTGTGAGTTTAGCAAAGTGCTTAAGAGGATCTCCATTTCCTCTTAGCCAAGAAAAGATAAGCACTGAGAGTCTGAATGAGTAATAGTAGGAGATCAAAATGGCATTGAAACTGTATGTATAAAAGATTAAAAAAAAACTCACAAGAAAAGCAAATCCGTAGAGAGAAACTTTTTAAAACTGTAAATTCAAATGCAGAGGAGAAATCATTATTGCATCACTCTACTTCTCAACCAAACAATAAAAGAAAAGGATTCCATCACGCTTTTTCACTTTTCCTTTAATCTTTTCTTTCACTTCCTTTTTTCTCTATAAAAAAATAAAAACACCATTGAAGGTTAAACCGAGCAATCAGAAACGAAGAAAAGTAAATCTCAGGTAAAAGCAAATCAAGAAATAGCAGCAATTGAACGAATGCAGCTAACAGCAACCTTCCTTGTTCATTCACTTCAGAATTTCCCACTGCACACTCTCTCTCTCTCACACACACACAAAATCCAAGTCCCATCTCACGTCATTCCATTTTGATTTCGACCTCTCCTTTCCATATAGCCGTCGGATCTATACCTTTTCCCTCAGCAAACAGTGCAACTTGATTCCCAAGTGTACGGCTGTTAGTTTTCAGTGTCAACATCGGCCGATTTTCGGCCCTTCGATTCCTTGGCTTCCTTAATTGTGCTCCACTATTATAAAACCGTTTTCAAAAGTGTTCAGTGCTTTTAATAAAATTTTGAGGTAACTGAAACTCGAGTTAACACACTTTATCCGACGGCTCGTAATCGCAGTTCTCCAAAAAGAATCCACGTGGCATCCTCTGTTTTTAGTGATTAAGTAGTGTCTAATTTATTAAAGTAAGGGTCGATTATAAATTTAGTAACGAATTTTATTTTTTCTTATTTTATTAATTGTATTTTAAATTTTTTTAATTTACATTGAATCTTTTATATAGATGTAAAACGACGTTGTTTTAGAGAAAATTTTATTTTTTTAAAATTATGTCATTTTAGCGCCGTTAATTATTTAATGGTAGAGTGACTAAAATATGAGAAAGAATAAAATTCAGTGAACAAAAAAAAAATCAATGTATTAAGTTTAGTGATAAAATTAAAAACTTTCAAAATTCAATGAGTAAAATAAGAAAAAAAGTAAAATTTAATGATGAAATTTGTACAAGCCTATCAGAGGGGTGGATAATGTTTTAAAAAATGTGACTCAGCCCAATTGATAATGCTCATATTCATTCATACGCACTCTGTCTCATAAAAGATGTTTATTATTAACATTTTTTTTAATTTTTTTAAATTTTGATTAATTATTATTTAAAATTTATTATTTATAAAATATGTAAAAATATATTTTAAAAATCTTCAATCAAATAATTTTCAAATATATATTTTATAAAATTTAAATATTTAAAATAATAATGGTCAAAGTTTATAAAATTTGACATTTTAAAAATTAACAACGAACGTTTTTTGTATGAGACATAGGGGTTTAGATTTAAATAAGAGTAGCATAAAACAAAGCAAAGACACTACAATAAAATTTCTTATTAGTGGCATCTAGATTATTGTCACTAAAACTTCAATTTATGTCACTAGATATATTTTGTGACGTAAAAGTCAATGTCACGATGATCGTCACCCTAGGTGTGTCACGAAATGTCAAAAGTGACGATGTATGTGTTATCATCATGTATTGTTAAATATATAGTGACGCTAATGGATAACGTCACAGTTTAATTTGCATTCAGTGACAATTACTTTTGTCACCAAATGATATACATTTTCGTCATTAATAAATCATATTGTCACCAATAACACAATAATTTCATTTTATACGTGACGAAAATAAAATTGTCACATTGTTAGTAACGTAGTATATCGTCACCTAATAGTAGCATGGATGACATTTATATATAACGTCACTATATAATTAATATTCAATGACAACTAATTATGTCACTAAATTATGTAAAATTTCGTTATTAATGATTTATATCATCACAAATAATACATTAAAATCAACCTATATGTGACGAAAGAGATATTGTCACATTTTTAGCGACATAATATAAATGTTACCTAATAATATTATGAATGATGTTTATGCATAACGTCACTTTATAATTTATATTCTATGACAGTTGGTTACATCACTAAATTAAATAAGAATTTGTTATTGATAATTTATATTTTCACAAATAATGCATTAAAATCAACTTATATGTGACGAAAGAAATATTGTAGAAAAACACAAATAATTTATATTCTATGACGTTTTTAATGACAATATATATTAAAATAAAATTATTTATACAAATCTAAATAAAAAATAAAATGGTTCACTTATTGCAAACTAATAAGATTTAAACAAATATTTCACTAAATACATAATAATTTCATTTCTATAAATATAAAATTGTTTAAATGTTTACAAAAAATAAAATAATATGATAATAATATGACTTGTAGAATATTTCGTTGTAACAATCTCAATCCAAACCTTGAGTCGATTGTGGTTCTGTTGATGTTGAGTTTGTGGTATCATTTGAAGCTACAAATTAAGATAATCAATATTAGTTACTACAATTAATATTATATAATAATTTTTATTTGATTAAATATATTGTTTACCTGAAAATTGAAGTGATGGCACTTGAATTTTCAATTGTTGTATCTGGATCAATTTCTTCATGTGTTTGATTTGGAGCATCAGTAACTTGTTGAGGTTCATATTCTTGGGTTCGATTTAGTTTACCAGAGACTTTTTGAGTTTCATTTTCTTATGTTCCAATCCTTTTACGAGATACTTTGCCTGGTGTCATCCTAAAACATATAGAAAAACTATTATAAATACTTTCACCAGCTTTTGCAATCGATTGCTCTTAGATATTAGAGGGAAATACAAAGACGCATTAAACCACAACCAAAATCATCAATTATTAAAGCACATTTGCTCTCCACTGGCAGAGCATTCTACAACTTAATTCATAAATGCAACAGTTCGGTTACACTGAGAGAATGATTCATTTGCAATTCAACTACATTAATAATTATGCTAAATTACAAAATTTTGCAAACTTACACTGAAATGATGCTAATAACAATATTTTTAATCAGTTTAAATGGAAATGTAAATAAATTAACATAAACAAAAAGAATGATATAAATTCAAATTTCACAAACACATGCACCTAAAGGAAGCATAAATACATAGCAGAGTTTGAGCATACCTTGTGAAGGTGAAATTTTACATCATAAACATTTATTTATTAAATGAAGAATTATCAATGTGAAAAGGAAACAAGACATGCACAGGTTTTTGAATGAGTTTTCCAATCAGATTGCACAATATCGAATAATAAAAGCAGCAACGTTTAGCAAAATTGAAGGAAAAATTAACAATTATTTTGTAAAAAGCAGCATCATTTAGCAATATTTAAAAGAAAAAAACTAACAATTATTTTGTAAAAAACATCAGCGTTTAACAAAAAATAAAAATCGAATAATAAAACTAACCCTAAACCATATGAATTCAACAATATCGAAAAAACCATATTTAACAGCGAAGAAAATAAATTTAAAAGAAAACAAATAATTACCTGCAAATTAAAGTTGGAGAAACCTTTGACTACTGCAATATGAATCAAAACAAAAAATAATTATAAAAATAATAAAACTATAAAGCAAAATTATCTCAATATAGAATATAGTGTAAACACCCGTTTTGTCTGGGATTTTTATTGTTATTATTTTTATAATTATTAAATATTAAATATTAATTTGGTGTTGTGTGGCACATACTCTTTATGTTTGTGTAAGTGCGGGTTGTACCTCCCTCTACTATATATGTTGCAATTGTCCAAGGTGCTCCGACAAAACCCAGCACTGTTGCATGATCTCCAACCTACTGGCGCAAAATCATAAGGGACTCCCCAACAAAATGTAGTTTCTCTAAGTCAATAGGATGCAATGCCTTCAAGCAATCCTCAGAGTGCATCGGTGAATGAATGACAGGACCCCTTACTTCTTCAATGTTAAACGGGACACCGAATGCAGGTAGTGGAGTAAGATTATAACTCCATCAGGACGGAAAGCTTCCCAAGGATGCAAAGAAATTTCCACAATGAGATCAGTTGTCTCAGACCTCTCTCTGAAGGACGGATGTTTCTCTGCAAGCTTTCTGTAAACAGTCATATACCTTCCTGCCTGGCGCATCATCCATGCAAGAGGCCTACTTACAGGATCTCCTCTTGCAGCTTTAACCAACAATGGATCAGTAGTAGAAGAAGAGCAAGCTACAGAGAACTTCTTAATTCTCATTCTTTTAGGAGAAGAAACAAAAGCTCTAGGGAAATTACTAATTTCATTTGAGTTAAAACCCAACCGCACTGTCAAGCTTGAGGATTTAACTCCCACGGAACTGCAAGCACTTGCTAGTGAAAAGCAGCTCCAAGAAGGGAGACTTAAAAGAAAGAAAATGGGGAAGTGGGTTGTGTAGAGAGTGAACGGCGGCAGAGGGTTATTAAAAATGAAGTGTAGGTTTATATTAAACCTAATTAAATTTTATTAAAATACTTCACATGTTGTCGTTTAGGGATAGAATTAGCCAATTTTTCTTGATTTGGGTGAATCATTGTAAGGGTCATGTCCATGTTTAAATTATCTCATTTTGGTCCTCATTTCAAGGCTTTTTCTTTTTTTAAATTTGTGAATCTAGCCCCTTAGTTTTCGCGGAATTTTATTTTAGTCATTAGTGCCTTTTTATTATGTTTTCCTTTCTTTTACATTTAAAATCTTTTATTATTAAAATATATTTTTTATTTATGGTTTTGATATTATTTAAAGATTACTTATTAAAATAGTAAAAAGATTTCTCTTTAGAAATTTTAAAATTATAAAATAATTGAAGTAAATACTATTTTTAACAATTTCATAATAAATAATTACTCCAATGCAAAGTTTGATTCAATTAAAAATGTGCTTGGAGGAACAATAATAATCCTAAAAAAATTCAAAACACATACATGTTTTATAATATTAGCTTTTTTATATAAAAGAGTAATATTTTTTATTTTAAAATTATTGATGTTATATGTATCTAAATATACTAAAATTTTATGGGTATTTCTGTGATCAAATATAAATATCTATTTTTTTCTAAACACTTTGATGTAACATCATGGAAAACATAGAAGTATAATAATATATAAAAATATCATGGTCATTTCTTTTTTACGATTTATTATTTTATGTTTTACTGTAAAAAATCTTTGAATATGAGATAATCTAATATAGAATAATGTAAATAAAATAAAAAAAAACACAAAAAAACTCTATACATTGTATTATTTAATAAGGATGTTAGATTATCTTATTTTTTAACATTAAGTGACATATTTTCATGACGTCTTTTAAAACGTCATATAAAAATAAGAGATAAAAACAAGTGACAAATAATTGATTTCGTCGTGCTAAAACAATTTTTTGTGACAATAATAAAATGTCACTTTTAGTGTCTTATAAAACATGACAAATTAAATTGTCACAAATAAAACTTATTAATGAAAAATGTGCAGCGCCACTAATTCAAATTGAATCGTCATTATAATAAATCGTCACTAATACATGT